CAATGAATGAGGCAACCGACGGAACCCGTCCCCGGCATTCGAGTGGTGTTTCGGCAATGTTCAGTGTTGGTGTTACACCAACGAACAATGTGACAGACTTCCCGACAGCCGCTTCTTCAACGACATCAGCGACCTCAGACTCGCCCCTTTCGTCTAGGCACTCTTCAATAGCAGCTAGCCTTGCGACTAGTGGGGGTCTCACGCGGAGGCCTAGTCGGGTTGCAACCATTAGTGGTATGAAGCGATCAACATCTTCTACTGAGGATGCCACTGCAGCTACCGCATCCGATAGAGGAGGAAAGGTTGTGGAATCTCCTGATGAGGGAGCCGAAGGATCCGTCCCAGAACCGAGCGGATCTATACTCTCCCTTTGGACAGTATTATCAAAGACTATGATTGGTGTTGGTATGCTTGGCCTTGCTTATTCTGTATCAAGATGTGGCTGGGTTATTGGTATACTAGCTATCATTATCAGTGGTTTGGCATCTCTGTTCACTCTTCATCTACTTAATCGATGTGCCTTGATGCTTGAGGTGAGGCCAATGAGCTTCTTCGTCATTTCACAAGCGTGCTCTCCACGCTCAAGGTGGGTAGTGGATACAATTTTAGTCATTACGAGTATTGGAGTATGTATAGTTTATTTACAGGTTGTTGGTAATATGCTTGAACCCCTCATATCCCGATGGATACCTATCATACCAGAAACTATTGGTTCTTTTGCTACACGAGCGATTCTCATTTTGATATGTGTGGCAATTGTATCGCCTGTTTGTTTCTGGCGGTCAGCAGGCAATACGGCCATTGTCAACATGGTTGGCCTTATCAGTCTGGTCTACGTTGTCATTCTAGGAATTGTTTACTGTGATTGCTCTAAGACCGATGAGAACACAACAGTTTGGCCTCCAGCTAACTTCTGGACGGTAATGGGTGTTCTACCTATCATTATCATGTCCTTCGGATGTCATATGAATGCTTTCCTTGTTACTGATGATCTTAAGAATCGAACACAAAAGCGTGTGGACATAGTTTCAACCGCCGCTATTTCTACAGCCATAGTTATCTTCATACCGGCAATGGTGTTTCCCTACATAACTTTTGGCTACGACGTCGAAGCTCTTAGTTTACAGAACCTTAGTGTTAACTATATTCCTGTACAAATTGGATATGTGGCTCTAGCAGTATCGGAAGTATGCTCTTTCCCATTACAAGTGTTCCCTTGTCGGAGGTCTCTCACAGTCCTGCTAACACGAGGGCGTGAATTGAAGCCTGCGGCTGAGCTGAAGCTGAGGGTCATTCTTACTGTGTGTATAGTACTGATCAGTCTCGTGGTGGCTATCTTCGTGAATTCTCTCGGAGTGACCTTCTCACTGTTGGGCCTTATTGGTGGTGACTGTACGAGTTTCATTATGCCATGTTATCTCTATTGTATGCTTACTCGTAATGACATCGAATCAGAAG